ATGTTTTACATAATACGATACAGATTGTGTTTTTATATAAAAAAAAACAATGTTTAATTGATAAAATCCATGTATATATATATATATATATATATATATATATATATATATATATATATATATATATATATATATATATATATGTGTGTATAATAAAAAAATCTAAACTATAAATCTAAAACATATAATTATACTCAAGAACACGTTTGTTCTGTATTTTTTGTGTTTTTTCTGTATTTTCTCGTACAAATTTTTAGAAACTCTTAAACCTTCGTGAAGTTTCATTTTTATAGTTGTATCTCTGTTAGTATTATCATTCATATCACTTGAATTGTTTTTCTTACATTTATATATAGAATGATTTAAAAAAGTTAGAAATGGACAGAGAAATTAATTTCAATTTTGCACAATATTCTGTACGGGACCAAAACTATTGTTTTAAGGATCTTATTATTTGTACATTTATAAGTAATTAAGTGTAGCATTTAATTTTCTGATGTAACATTGCAGTTTTCATTTAGCATTTAGCTATATATAAAATTCCAGGACAAATATCATCAACGATCTACCGCTGTTTGCGTGCGTAAGTCGTGTGCACCAGGATGAGTTTAATTTATGCGTTCATTTGTATAAGATCGTTGAGTTGTGACCGCCGAGGCGCAACAGCAATCGCGAGGCCATATTTATATGGAAATTCCGACATGCTGCTTTTGAGAACGGGATAATACAGGCGCAGCCTCGAAAACAAACTGTGAATGTGTGTGTCGAGACGCAATTTATTCGAATAAAAAAGAGAATAATGTCGCAAGATCTATTCGTCGTCATATAAACGATTGTGTTATATAATTGCAGCTCACGTGGATGATGACAAATCGACGCTATTGACGTTCTAGCATTATAGTATTTCAATTTTCAACTCAATTTTGAATTTACATAGACTTTTGTCTCTTATCATTGCAAAAAGATATTACATTGCATAAGATTGAATTAGTGAAAGTGATTTATAAATATAAAAATATGCAATAAATATAAATATAAATATTTCTGAGGATGGCTCAAAACCGAAACATTCAGAAATTATTAAATTATATTTTTTATTTATTATATATATATATATATATATTTTTCTGTCGTTAGTTATATTGGCGCAAATAAATACTAACGCTGATTCCTAATGCTTTGTGAATCTATGTCTTAATTTATGATTAAAGGAGTCCCTAAAATAATTATTTCTTAAAATAATTATTTTTATTATTGATTGTTATAAATATGCAAATTATATATATGTATTCTTCATCGCGTATCACGTTAAATAAACATGTACGATCTTACATCGATATTTCAATATGCTCAAGTTATCATTTACGCGCGAAACATTTGCTCGACGCGCCGAATTCGTGCGATCGTATTTTCGCACAATAACACGCGTTGTTTCATTTCGTTTCACCGTTACCTCCGGAAACCGAATGAATCCGCAGAAACGGAGGCGCGGCATCATAATAATGGAGGCAACGACCGAGTCGTGCGACCGTAGTCCTGATTTTTCCATCGACAATGGAATTTCCTGGATGACTGACGGCTCAGTCGCCGACCGATTCGCAGAGCGATCATCCGTGAATTCCCTTGCTCCTTTGCATTCCACAGTAACAACAAAGTTCGCAGATGCACGATTCCTCCGTGTGCGCGTGTATTACGTGTGTTAAAACGAAGGGAAGCGCTCGCGCGCGCAAGATAAGAGCAATATATTTCGGAATATCCGGTCTTTGATGTAAAAATTGATCTGTCGTGTTTTCCACGACCTTTGTCCTTTTCTGCATCAGTTCGTGAATTTCTCTTGCGAGAGAGGTATTCATCCTATGAATATCTCTTCTAAACTATTCAAAGCTACGATCCAACTGTAAACTAATGATTATTTATTAATCCTGTGATGTCTCTCATTTTTATCATTTTTTTGTATAATAAAGTTTTTCTCACAGTTATATATTATTTTATGTTTATATAAATTTTCGTATAAGAACGGAATACTAATTTATTTAATGTTTTTAAAATTAATATTATGTAAAAAATGATAATAAATATTATTACAATATATTTATTTAATTAATATGTAAATTAATAAATTATATAAATAATATTAGTACTATAAATGAAAATAATATTAGTACTATATGAAATTTTTTCAAAAAAATAATAATTTTCTTCTGCTTTTTATATGCTAATAGCTTATACACTATCTTTTTAACATATACTATATGTAATACTAGTTTTAAATTTATATATACAAATTAGAATGACCTGAGATCTAAAAATTTATTAAAAAGAGATTTGAAGAATTTCTATTCAAAAATAATTCAAAGAATTTATTTGTTTATAATTTAACTAATAAAAAAAATTCTAATAGTAAAATAGAAATTTGGATCTTGTTTCTACATTAAAAATTGAAAGAATTAAAATGTAACATAATTAAAATACGATTTTAATAGTATTATTAGAAAAATATATCAATTGTATTCCTTAATTATCTTTTATATTTAAGTAGTATATATATATTAATTTTCTACATAGAAATAATAATCATATTTATATTTATAATTTTATATAGCAAAATATGCGTAAATTTTTGACAAATCACCATTGCAAATAAAATCATACCTTCTTCGCATTTTTTTTACAAGATACAAGATATACCTTTACTTCTTTTTTAACAAAATTTGAGGTATTTTATTTTTTGAGAAATTTAACCTTGAGCAATTTGAAAGGGTTGAAGATCTAATAATTGCATAAGTGTCATTGTAAATCGAAGGTATAGATCACACAAAGACGTACATGCAAGTTCTATTACGTAATCGCATAATTTCCTAACTACGTTAGTGCATCACGTTGCAAGTCTACCGAACAGAAGACAGCGTATGGATCTGTTCGCTTCAGTAGCTTATGCACGTAACGTGCAGCAATCGAAGGGTTAAATGTAATTTACCTTCGACGGGAACCTAGAGGAAACTTCATGGTACGTTCACGCAGCTTCAGTCATGTGATGTGTCGCGGATAATGCACAGATGCACGCAGTGGTTCTCGGAATATAGATTCTTAGAATATAAATTACGAAATGGCGATTATAGTAATGCCGAGAAAATCATTTCATCTTCATTCACAATACTTTGAAATTTTAACCAGTATCTAGAAACCAAGAACATCGCGAAACGCGATCTGATAAATATTTTATCTCATATGTTTATGTGAATACATGTACATGAATATACATATACATGCAAACAACGGCCACTATATTATTGACGAAGGAAGTGCTTAATTAAGCTCGCCATCGTGGAAAACTAAAGTTGCTCTGTTAGTAATTGGATATTAATTATTATCTCGGAACTCCTTAGCTTCAACGTTGTATAGCTTGGGTCTACTTGGTACTTACAAGATTGTACTTGGCTACATCCGTAACCTGATCAATTAAGTAAATTTATTGCTTATATTTTATACTATTAGAGAAAAAGAGTAAATATAATCTACGTAAATTGAAGTAAGTTTAGTAACGACGATATAAATTAAGTTTACTAAAAACAGAGCATGGAATCACGTAGTTTAAGAAAAATTTAAGATAATATAAATAATGTTAGATTTTCATTATATTTTTTATCTTATGATTTCCCTGGAGATTTAAAAAAAATGTTCTCTCGTTGATAACTTCGGTGTTGCAATATACCATCGATATATTTCTATAAATACTACATGCACCACTTTGACCGCAATATCGCCACTATTCCTATAGTGCGACTCTTTTCGGATATCAATAAAAAATTTGTCACCAATCTTTTTGATAGAAGCATCAATAAAAGAACAAAAAGGGGATTTTTGTATAAATATCTCGGTATATTATTTTACATGTATTATACAAACGTGTACAAAATACAACTAAAACATTATGATATGTAAAAAAAAAAAGAATTATAAGTGAGGAAAATAAAAATTTTATGATATTTTGTAGTTCCCAGATCTCTTTGCAGAAAAAAATGCAATTTCATCATATTAGCTCTTTCTCCTTTTTCATTGCAGTTTTTAATTTCTTTAATCCGTCAAAGTACCTTCTAAATGCATGCGTGCATTAGCTAGTACAATGAGAATTCTATTCTTTTTATCATCTGCATTCAAAACAAGAAAAATATACTATACATTTACGCGTAGAAGAGAAAAAGAGATAATGAGAAAAGTAAAAGGCGTAGTTGAAAAACAAATGCATATAATGTACTATACAATAAATGAAAAGTTCTCTATGCGTCCGTGTTTCTCCAGTTAAATTCTGATTAACTCAATCGTTGATTAATTTAATCGACAAAATTATAATTTTTGATTAAATTTCTAAGTACATAATTTAATTCAATTTATTTATATACACATATATTCTGTCATTCCTTTAAATAAATGACATAATTCAAAAAACATGAGTTTCAAGTTTTTATGTACAAATTAAGTAATTATATATACCTTATTAATCAATTATCAAAAGTGAACGAATACTTAACACTTAACTTCATAAAAAAACATTATCGTTACAATTAAAAAAGATGAATTTTTAAAGGTTATGAAATAAAAATGACAAAAATGACATTTGATTATGTTAAGAATATATTCTTTATACCGATATTATTTTGTTAATAAAAATTTATTTGATTAGAAGATATTATTAATAATTTAATTTTTTTGTCAAGTTGAAAAATATAATTTTTTTTTCTTTTTGGGAAATTTAACTTTTTGAATTGTTTAAAGTAAAAGAAATGATAGATCACAAAATTATTAGATTATTAGTATAATAGTATAATTATTAGTCTCTTATTTTTGTTAACGAAATATTATATGCAGTATTTAATAAGTTAATCGGAATTCGAAGTCATCTATAGCTACAAAGCCTATACATATATGTATAGACTTGTGTATACAGTTCTGTAATATAGACCTACGTATGTGTAAGCGATCAGATGATCTCTCATTAAAAGATGGCCGCCAAAGCAGTGGATAAGGTGGGTAAGACCGCGTTGCGGTATTTTCTGGGAACATGCGTGCCTTCGTCGAAGCAGAATGCCGCCAAAGTGAGAGTACCGCAATTACAATTTGATAATTACATTCATATGGTTAGTATACATATGTGTATCATGTACCATATAATATTTATTTAGATTCCTAGTTGAGGTTATATTTCTTGGTGTTCAATAGTACTTCAAGGAAAACGAATTTGTTTATGCCCATGATCCGAAGAAGTTGTGTAAAACCGGTGATGTAATTTTGATAAAAACATTACCGCAGAAATTAACACGTCTGATCACACACGAGGTATGTGTTGTTCTATCTAGCTATGTTTAATTATTGCTATTGTGTTATATGAGAAAAAGAAGATAGATTTAAATAAATACAATTTTATGAATGATTTCATATTTTTACTATCAAAATCAAAATCTATGTAGGTTGTCGAAGTGATATATCCTCTAGGCGATATAGTAGATCCAGTCACAGGAAAGAAAATTGTTGCATGTAGATATAGGTATATATACCATTAAAAATTTCACGAAATTACTTAAGACATTTATGAGTGCATTAAAAAATTCTTATTTTATATTTCTTTGTAAAATTAGGGAAGATATAGAAGAAGTGAGCAAATTATATGGCAAAAAAGACTCGACCTTTGATTATTCGAAAGCACCACGAAGAGGAAGACTAGAAGGCACACGAGACTTCACTCATAAGAAGATATATCTGAAATACTATAATAATCCTGATGACCCACAATTAGATACTTACTAGATATTATGTTACTGTTCCAACAGTAACATAAAAAATATAAGATATTATATTGTGAAATTCGATAATTAATAAATTATAAATATTCAATAGAGATACTGTACATTGCAAATTGTAAGTACTACAAGTTTTTATTTTCAAATTTTCAGATACATTCTGGGATCTCAATACAAAAGCTTGCTTGGAATTATCAATGTTAATATGATAGCTCTAAAAATATTAGAAAATAACTTTTATTTTCTAATTATATATATATATATATATATATACATATACATAAAGATAAAATCAGTTTTCGACATATTTTCTTGCATGAGAAAAAATTCGCAAATATTCAATGGCACATGTGTTATTCACAGTGCTATAATGCTATTCACAAATTACTTTTGAAGAACAATAATTACTTTGTTACAATTAATCATGCTTTTAAATATATGTGCAAAATTTAAAAATCCAATAGATCTATTGCTCGATATTATAGAAGGAATTGATTTTCTATTTTTAAAGATTCTTGTTTCATAGATCAACTATTTCAATCTATTCTTTCGAAATCTTTAATATTTCTATAATATCTTGCTGACTTCATCAGAGTATACAATAATGTAACGTTTTATTATCAATAACCCTGCCTCGGTTATCGAACTTGAAATTTATGAATAACATAAAACATCCTGAGTTAATCATTAAAGAGAACTACTTATATTCAAACACATGTCACTCGGAAAGAAATTCTCTTTCAAGTGCAGCACCTAATGCATTCCATTCTCTATCATCTTCGTTATCTTCTTCTTCAAAATCATCCACAGAGTCCTGTGAATTATCATCTAGATCTAAGTCATCGGGTAATTCTCCTCCTCTTCTAAAACGTGCAACAAGATCATCATCACTGTCGTTATTGTCATCGTCTTCACTGTCATGATAGTCTACATCTTTGGAGAAATCTTTATCATTGTTGCCGTTGTAAACCTTTCTCTTTTTTCTTTTTGAAACTCCCAATTCATTTATATCTGTAACATAAAAAAAATATTATTTAATTTGTAAATATAAAATTATAGTAAAAAATTATATTTTTTGATATATATATATGTTGAAATATAATTTAAATAACTTATAATTCTCAGAAAAAAATCGAAGATAAATAATGGATAGCGCAATAGAATGATTCTCTATTAAACAAAAATATAAGTTTAATTCCCTTTATACAATATTAAGTGAAAAAATATTTCATTCTGATGGAAACAAAGTTTGCGAAATATGAAATTTTATCCCATGATAAATCATGTATATTACACAACATTGCATAAATCATGTATATTACATAATATATAACATTGCATAATAATAAATCATGATATTATATTGTGCCTTAGAAACTGGAAACTTTCAAACAAATAAATTTTTTTAAATAACTGATTCTTTCCAGAACAAAAAGTTTACAATTCCTTCGCAAAAATTGTAATTGTAATAAAAGCAATTTAGAAACTTTAACCCAGACTTTACTGTAATATTCTAACGTAATAAAATAATACATAAAATTACAGACAGAATTATTGCATATTATAGATCACCTAAAATAAGACTTTACCATTCACAGAATCTTCAGAATCGGAGCTCCGACGACGTATCTTTGTACCACATTCTTCCATGTCATCTTCCTCGTCTTCGAAAACCATATCTTCCATATCCTCATTTACCTCTTTATCCATAAATTCTATCTCCTCTTGAGTGAATGACATTAATGGATTGATAGAATTAGCGAAGGAATTTGTTTTATCGCTTTCTACATCCTCGACGCGTTCCGGACTACTACAATGCGGTGGTGGTACTCTCGATCCGCGTGCCTACGATACTTCATGTTTATTATTAATGTCGAGACAACGTGAGTTTTAATAAATTGCCATAAAAGTAATTGTTTAAATAACGTAACTTAACATTGCAAAATTATGGCATTTATACCTGTGATGTTAAAGGAAATAAGCGCTCATCCACGTGTTCCCAGCGTTCTGCACACGTCCATAACCAATCCGAATTTACAATTTTAATATTTGTGTCTTTTCTAGCTGCGTTTGCTTTCGCTGTACCTTTTCTAATAGCAACCAAATGCGTGGTTTTCTCCGTTAAATCCTGGCAAAATTTTATTATTTATCGAAACATAATAAATTATTATAAAAAAATAAATATAAAAGTATTACTTGAGTCACTTCTGCTCCAAACGCTCTCGCGACTTTATATGCACGGCTTTGGTGAAGTTTTTGATGAGTGGGTATCAAGCCACTGAAAGTTAAGCATAATCCTTTCAAAACTTGAGAGCGTACCCGTGGGATTATATCCCGCAAAGACTTTCGAGTATTCTCTTGATCCAATGTAGCGTAAAACTCTGTATGAATTCTTCGAAGAATATCTTCCAAGTATAGTAAATAATCATCATCATCATCATCTATTATATTACTCTCTTGTTTTGGCACTGCTTGCTTACTGTTTTTATTCGTTTCCACAGATGATGCAATTTTCGTTATTTCCTTTTTATCGTCTTCTTTCGCAGTAGTAGTCTGAACATTAGATTCCGCATCCTTTTCAGTATTCACTTTATCATCTTCATCTTTTTCATTCTTGTTTTTTATCTCGTCTATAATTTTCTCATCTTTCTCATCTTCATGATTTGTTTCTTTCACAGAGGGATTATTTAATGGCTGTTCAGCTTCATTTGATAATTCAGAGGCATCATTCTTGCTATCCTTGTTTTGCGAATTTGTACAGGATTCATTTGTAATCACTGGCAAACGCAATACTTCAGCCTTTTCTAAACCTGGTAGTGCATTAATATCGCCGGTGTGACGGAAAAAATGATAGGGTTTGACCTGAACTAAATTTCCACACCCTTGCCATACATCTTCTCTATCGTCTATAATACATACTAAGTCATCGCCGCATGGAAACAAAGCTCTGCAATAAGATAATACAGAATTGATCTCTAAATATTTATCTCTAATAATGTTATATAAAAAAGATAGCAATTTATAAATACTTGAGGTTTGCAGTTTTGGATGCTGGATCGAAACATTCATCTCTCGAAAGTATCCTGTGAGAGAACAGAACTCCATCCTTGTCTAGCAATGACGCAACAGTGTGTGCATAAATTCTTGCTCCGAAAGTGCAAATATGTAATTCGTACAAACGACTCATTTCCGAGAGGAAGTGCCGGGTGTTCGGTCTTAACCTGGTGTGGTACCATGGGGAGTTCAGTCCGTACAATTGAAAATGGAAAACATCCTTTGAAAAGAAAAAATTTGATTATTTTGCAATAATGCTAGAAAATTCTATATCAATAATTTTTATAAAAAATTATGACAGCATATAATAAAATGTATACGTACTTTCAAATTGGGTGGAATATTATCGTTTGTGGTATGAACAATTGTTTGATCGAGATCCACAAGTAGCACTAATTTCCGATCTGTTAAAAGACGTTGTTCATCCTCTTTCCCAATTTTCTCTGCTAATTCCGGACATACTTTCAGTTCTGGTATGCTGTGTACCATAGGCACACTGGCCTGAGATACTCCAACTGTGTTTCCATCTTTACTGGTTTCTTGTACTCTCAAATCGGCCCCACATTCTGCACACAAGTCTATCATCACAGTGGGATGTGTACATCCTTCCAGTAGAACTATCACTTGCCTGGAACACTAATCAACTATGCAGACATCACAAAGTATATTTTAAAGACTATACAATATAAAACTATTTCAATTAAGTGTTTCTGTATGCAATATATAAATTATATAAAATTCTTCACTCAATCTTTAGTACACACAATGATTTTTTAATCTTTGATTATAAGTATTGTTTGTGTCCCCAGTTAATTTTTATCACGTTTACAAAAATATAAGATCATTAAGTAATTCTTATACATATTTTTAACATATTTAGAAAGTATTTATACATTAATTGTACATTATTTAAAAAAAGGAAAGAAGAGAAGCCATTAAAACTGAAATAAGTGAATATTTCAAAGAAAAAAGTATACAAGATACAAATGACTCAATTGTGTGTACTAAGGCTGAAGTCCATTCTATAATAGCACAAGTATAATTAAGTGATTGTATTTGTAAAAACTGACCACAATCACAGTTCAATATTCTCTTAATAAAAAGAATATCGCAATATTAAGAATAAAATATTTATTTTAATAGAATATACAGATTATTTTAATAGAATATACAGATTATTTTCAACTTTCTTCTATTTTAAGACAGAGTAAAAGCTCTTTATTATCTCATTTTGTTTAAAGTCTGAAGATCTATCAGTTTACGATACAGATGCAATGTACTGAGTTTAATAAGACCTTTGAATCTTCACAAAATCCTTGTATAACACAAGGTAATAAAAAAGTTATGCGTATCTCGTTTAAAGATATCTCATTTGAAATTGGCAGTTCTACAGATTTTTGAGCACGATGACGCTACGGAATTTCACGTAACTACCATTTGCTATCATTCCAAATGAGGATTATGGGAAGGATTATTCATACCCAGGCTGGACAACGTCACCCTCTTTGGCCAGGATCTGCTTAACGCGGCCGAAATTCGTGGCCCGCAGCTTCTTCTCGGGCCCCTTGGTTTCTTCGTCGTCGGCGGTTGGCGTCGCATCCTGGTACACCAGCAATATTCTGCCCGCTGCGACCATTGTGTCCGAACGTACCCTCCATTTCAGAATTTTCCCGGGCGGTCTGTCTGACGGGAATGTGACTTCTATCGTTGCCATTGCGCACTCGCGCTCATCCGGAGCACAATGATAAAGCAACTCTATGCGATCGACCTCGGAGGACGAGGGTTACAGGGATGCTCCGGATATTGCGCTTCTTAACCTCCCTTGAGAAAACCGTTCTGCGTTTTTGCGCGGGAGACAAAAACAACGCGAGACATAAACACGACCCACGTCAACATCGATCGAAAGACGCGAGTGCACTCGAATACATGCGCGTAAAAAGAGGAAGGAGAAAGAGAGACGCGTGACTTAATGTGATTGGCGAAGGTCTGCCTCGGCGATCGCGTAAATTGCGTGGATATGAAAGATAAATGGAATAGTTGCACAAAGTTTTTTATAATCGAGCGAAGAGAAAGAGGTCAGCGAAATTGATTGAAATTGATTGACAATAATGTATTTATATATAATATAATTATTTATTATATTTATTAATTTTGGCGTAATCTCTTTTTGAGTTACCTAAAAAAAAAAACATTGCACATACATTATAAATGTTATATTTGAATGATGCGCTATTATTTTTATTTAGAAATTTTATTTTTATTTTTATTCGATTGATATCATTGTTATATATAAATTCGAAGATGATTAACGCTTTGATGCATCTTTCTTAATTTTTTTAGCAACTATATATTACGTATTAGTTATTTAATTATTATCTATTTGTTACGAATTTTTAAATAGCTTATAGATACATATTTTAAGATAAAAATAAATTGTTTAATGCATATATCTTATTCAGAATTGGTAATAAATATCTTAAGTTGCTGCGATTGTTTATTTTAATATGTAAAAATTCTTTATCATTTTTAACAGTTTATAAAACATATAACTTTTCTAGTATTTCATAAATATATTTTATAAGATATAAAACTTATAAAATATTTGAATACGTTTTAATTTGTGTGTGTTGCAGCTAGGGCTGTGTTCCAAAATTCACTATCAGTGTTGAAAATGTATAGTACATATATGTAACGTAAATTGTAGATTTTCAGCGCAGTGAATTTTATACAGCCTACATTTGTTCGTTACAACACTGAGGGCCGGTTGTTCCATCTTTTGGTAAATTTTACCTGTTGGGTAAGTAGCAAGACTACACAATCACATGCGCAGATTACCAAATTTATCTTATAGGTAAAATTTATTAAAAGGCGGAACTGACTCTGAATCATGTTTATTGTTTGTCAATGTTAAACAAAGGACGAAGATAAAATAATCAATGTATTTCACAGTATGTCTCTATACTGTGTCACAATGTAAGTCTTGTTTGCAATGTACTGTGCTTATACTGTGACATAGTGCGATCACCAATCATATATCAAAGTGTTTCGTGCCGCATCATGTCGTATGTGCGACGCGCTCGAATTCGACATTTTCGACAGTTTTCAATGTTTGAAACGGTTAGAAACGGTTTTTCACCATGATTGATAATTTATTGACGTTTGTGCGGCAAATGCTCGCGTCCACAATCAAAAAATAATACTTAGAGTGATCTCACATTACTTTTCGAACGTTCATTATCCACGAACGGTTTTTAATTCCTCCATAATCATAACATGTCAGATAGTATAAGTATCGGTAGTATCGGTACGCCGAACAGTCGAGGTAGTGCCATGTATACCCCACGAACACCTCGAATGCGTCAACGACAACGATTCGATCTGAGTATGTGGGCAGAAGAAGACGAAATCGATGGATTGGAAGGTAAACAATGCGCTTTTTCGTAAGAAAAAAAATCGAAAGTACTTCAAACGCTTGGAATTGATGTGGCACAAAAGTTTCTTGTTCTGATAGTTCCCAAGATAGTTGAATATAATACTTTGATTTTACGTTAATCGATTCAGTTTAAATATTTAACATCTCTTTTTATTTGAATATACAATCTTCTTTTAATTTTACTTACAACTTAATCTTATAGGCTTAGTAGCCCAAACATGGAACATTTATGCAGTATCTGCTCTGTTTGGTATTGAACAAGACGATGTTCACTTTAAACTATATTCGAAGAAATTGAGAGAAGAAATTGCAAGCACCTTATCGCGTGAAGATGTAACTTATGATGCAAAGTTTTCTATTATGGAAGATATTACATCTAAACCAAATAGTGAGGATCCTGTAATCAAGGTCTAATAAAAAATACTGACAATTTTTAATTTTTAATATTTTTTTATATAATAGCTTCTTAATATTTTGTAATATCATATTAAAATATGTACATTGTTAAAAAGACAATCAGATTTAAGCTTGTTTATAAAATATATTTTAGATTGAAGTTATAGCTAAAATCCATGGTCGTGAGAATGGTGTTGAAAAATCCATTTATAAAGGAGTATTATTATCCTGGAGCTTAACACGGACTACATTAAATATACAGAATTCTATAAGATTGCCTCTTCTACTGTGTCGTGGTACTCGCAGCTGTATGGATGCAGTACATACTATCATTGGTCGTATGTTTGACTGCTTGATAGTTACACTACCAGCTAACGAGGATGACTTACGTTGGCTGGTTCCGATTATAATTACAGCTACTAATGAGGATAAGCCAATAATTTTTGGTGAAGTTCAAATGGAATACACAGTGCCAGAATTACCAATTACAGATGTCATTAAAGTTAAATATCATAGTTCAGACTTGAAGGAAATATTATCAGCGTAGGTTAACGTTTAATTGAATGAAAATGTTCAATATTATTTATAATATTTAGTTTATATTAGTATTTAATAATTTACAGTATTGTTGGAGAACGAGATAACAGAGTTAATGTATTTCTTGATTATGAACACATGGAAATGTTCCATAAAGTTTTACATGAGCAAATGTTAATGGCAGGGGGGTTACAATTAGGATTATGTACATTGCGCAGGATTAATCTGCCTGGGATAACAATAATGGAGAATAGAGTGAGTATCTACATCATTTTTATTTTTCTTCTCATTTTATATCGAAATGATATTAAAACAAAACATATTTGATACATGTTAATGTAGTTTAACGTGTGTTTCTTTTTTTTAGATGAAAGTGACAAATATAGAAATTATGAATAATATATTGTTATACTTTAGTGACAAAGCTCTTGATATATTTCATACAGTGCATATTGATATATGAATTTTCTTATTTTAATGTTTTGTGATATACATAGTTCAAATACAGTAATATATCTTGATTGCTGCAATAATTATTTACGTTGTCATTGTCATAAAAAAATAGAGGTTTGATTTGTCATTATAAAAAAAAATTTGTATTAATTTTGTAAAAAAAAACTTGTATATCAGACATATTCTTTGATAATAAAAAAAATATATTAAGTTTTGAATTATTATATAAGTCATTTAGTTTGAGATCACTATAAATTGCCATAATAAATGAGTTTTTCATTTTAAATGACTTCTTCTATTTCCATCTGTAAAATTAAAAATATTAAGTAAAAAGTTAACATACATATAAAGTTAGTCATTATATAACACTCCAGGAACTTACGGAATTAGTATCACTCTTTATAATATTATCTTGTAGATTTTTCTTAGTTTTTATTTTTTGTATGTGATGTTCAAAATTTATATAATCATCTGGTTTCTCATCAAATGAAAGTATAGATATTCCAAGTACTTCGGATAACATAAAAGGTTTTAACCACGTCACAAGTGGGGTAAGTCCATAAGTATATAATGCTTGACAATGATAAAATAAGAATCCATCCAAAAGTTGTTCATTATCAAAATTTTTTGCCAAGATTGAATTAATATCCGAGTTACAATTAATATTTGGTAGAGTTAAAATAGGATATCTATTTGTATCAGTATTACGTTCTTTGAATTCTGGTATTTCCTGGAACTTATTCTTGATCCAGAAAAACCTAAACTCAGCCTAAAATAATATATCGCATGTATATATAAAATAATATATAAATATATTTATTGCTTATGTATTTTAATTTATATCAATTACCTTACAAATGCAGATTGATTTATATGTGAAATATACATATATTACCTGACAATTCGTAAATGGCAATAGACTCCAATACAACACGTCTAATATATAAAAGAGTTTTCTCTTCTTTATCCATAGACAATCGATAGCAGCAGAGTGGTGAAAGTCAGCATCAGGATTTCCACCTGGAAGTGCTGAAGGAAAGACACCATGTAGAACACCTTTTCTAGAATATGCCCTTGTTTCACCCTGATTTAAAAAATTGTTAAAATAATTATTATATTAGGTGTTGGAATTAATTCGTAGCGTTTTTTAATGAAAGAATGTTATTTATTTCACATGAGCATTAAAAAATACATTAATGAAAGTACTTCCCATCACTTGTAAAACGCTACGAATTAATTCCAACACCTAATACTTATTATAATTATTATAGTTATTATAATTATTATTTGTAATAAAGATCTTATTTGATAATAAATATCAACAAAGATGAGTTAATACCCAGCCTGAGATCACTCTAACTCGTTTTCCTATTGGACATGGAACCATAATCCAATTTTCAATGAGATCTTGCGGCACATCTAGCATCCATTCTGATAGCATCATTCGACTTATTTTGGATTCGTTCGGAAGAATCTTATAATACGACGAGGCATAATCTTCTACTTCCATATACTCCTCTTCATCCATGTACTCTTCCGCATCCATACACTCCTTTTCATCTATATATTCCTCTTCACCTATATGTTGCTCCTCATCTATATATTTCTCCTCATCCATACCTTCATTTTTTAATGTAGAACACTCTTGTATACCACGTATTGCATTGATAGTTTCATCTCTATGTCTATAAGAATCATAAAATAGCGTATTTATATAAAAAAAATAGAATGTGAAAAAAAATGAAAAATATTAGAATGATATTAGAATAACGTTCGAATAAAAATATGTAAAAGCCAGTAAAAACTAAGGATATACAACTTTTCCAGAAAGACATCAAAGACTCAATTATTCTGTTAAAAATGTATTTCATTGAATATCAATTATAAACAGAATGACTTCTGTATATATTTCCTGAAAAGCCCCAATAATTATGATGTCTACAAGTGGTAACATTTAATTTCATTAATTATTATTAAATATTTTTCAATATTCTCATTAAGTTTAAATTTTTTATTAACATTTGTTAATAATGTTTTTATGAATATATACAAAATAATTATTTAACATATGTACTTTGTCACAAGTTATTAATTCTTTTCTATGGATTTTCTACACAATGCCTATTAATTTTTAACATAAAATACACTTTTTTTTAACAATAGAATATTCCTATAAGTAATTTGTTATACATACTTCTTTTGATACTCTAATAACAATCTGCGTCTTTCTTCTTGAGGTGTACTATCATCAAATTCTAATCTAATATTATCTTTTCTTATACGGCTTTTGTAAAATTGCCTACGGCTAGATTCTCTTGGGTCACAATCATTTTTGTTATTGTTTGTGGTATTACTTTTGTCCTCATTTATATTAATACTTTTGTCATCGTTTATACTATCATTTTTATCATCGTTTAAATTATCGCTTTTATCATTATTTATATTATTAGTGTCGAGACACTGTATCTCCTGATCACTTTTATCATTGATTTTATCACTATCGCTTTTATTACTGCTTAATAATTCTGCCATCTCCACTGTATACCTGAATACCTGAAATAACAATAATTTCTTGAGTCTATACTTGAATTAAGGTACGGTCAATGTGTTGCAAAGTAAACACTTTGAAGTCTTTTTATCTGGTCAGTAAAATTCTTTCTTCTAATTGATCCAAAATGCTTCAAAGCATTTGTAACGAGACTTCGACCACAGCCTTAGTGTATACTTTTGGAATTTAAAGTGAGATAGATATATGTTTGATCTTTATTCTTTACAAAACTTTCCCGTTTTCGAGAAAGTTCTAGTGCAGTCTTAAATCTTCTATGGTGTGTTTCCTGTTTCTTGCCTTTTGTTATTTTTTACATCTTGTCTTTTCACTTCTTATCCAGTTTTTTGTTTTATATCACTCGAGATAAAAGTTAACTTCTAAGTTAAAGATCTTCGAAAGAAACAAGAAATACATAGCAAAAAATACAATTGTTTATAAAATGGCTTTAACGAATTTCAGAAGAAATGGAAAACACATATCACAAAAAATATTAGGTGCGCAACTAAGTTCCCGCTATTTGTCAACAGATAGCTCCAGCAGTAAGTGAACAGTTTTATCGTGATGATATACGAGCTCTGCCAGAAAGATGGGAAAAAGTAATAGCTAGCGATGGGCAATACGATTTCAATGATTCATTTGTAACCATTTTTTCACAATAAAGTTGCATTTTCATCAAAATAACAGCGAGAACTTAGTTGCGCACCTAATATAATTGTTGATAAAACGATCACAAAGAGGAAAAAGCAAGAAACAGGAAACAAAAAGCACATTGTAGAATAATCATTAGTAAGGAATAAAAAATAGACCTTTTGTTTCGATAGTCAATATAAACCGTTAAGATATATTTTTTCAAATATTTATTGACAGAAACATGAAATTGAATAAACGCAGAACATCATTGAATAGCAAATTCTGAAACAGTTTCTGTTTGTACTAGCAGTAAAATCATAAAAATTTGAAAAATAACTAAAACTATCGAAAGTAATAAAATCTATTGATAAATATTATAATTTTACAGTACCATTTATAATAGAAGTGACAATACCTTTGTGTGTAAAATGTAAGTAAAATGTCTTCGATTGTTAAAGTAGTTCAAATTTTCTGACACGTATTTTGCTTTAATATTCTTCTCGTACTACTTGCACATCCACGTTTCACGAGTTTCCAGAGAAATCTGAGGATTCTGAAGTCTGAGTCAATCTGGGTTTGAAGGTTTGAGCACAGTATACACACTGTGGCTTGAGCATGGTCTTTTATTGTATTTTACTATTTACAATAGTTTACATGAAGAAATCCGTACACTAGCGCACCAATGTTTATTCTTGGAAACTAGATGTCAAATCCTTACCTAGATGTCAAAACCTTTTCACAACAGTTGATATGTCGGGGTTCTTCAATTTCCTCTCAGCCTTCAGAACTGGATAAGAAAATATAATTTATGTAGCTTGTGATTTTCTTGCAGTGAGTGATTTTCTTTCCATTATTTAAGTATTGTCATTATATTATTGTTAGTTTTTTTGGAAATTGTATAGTTAGAGTGACAAAAAAATACAAAAATGCCTACATATGAAATGCCCTTATTGCTGCGAATCATGAAAAAGGTATCGTATTGTAATGAGTAGAGGTTATATTTTTTTACATCTCAGAGATTTGTGCAATAAAACATTACGATAATCGTGCGCCTGATATAACATGTTGTCTCATACAAATAATCTATTGTAAAATGATCAACGAATATTTGATATATATTTGCAGCCGGAATTGGTAGCAGCCTTAAAGAGAACAGCTGAAACGATATTTAATACTGGTGGTTTTATCAGAAAAATTGAAAATTGCGGAGTAATACCACTTCCATGCAAAACTAATGCACATGGACACATTCATCGTGAAGCAAAGTAAGATTATACTTATAATAATATTAAAACATCCAATTAAATTTTGCCTTAATTGGAACAAATTAAATGCAATTGATAAATTTTCTTCATTATTATGTATTCTAACAATAATAAAGTATATTTTTATGTATTTTATTTTACATATTTCGTTTATTTTTCTCTTTCATGTTTGCAGTCATTTTTTAATATATTTTGATGTACCACCAAACGAAGTAGACAAAATCACAGATAAATATAATAGAGATATCGATATCGTTAGATCAAAAATATTCAAACAAAATAAACCGTCTAACACAAAATGTACGTTCCATGAAGAAATGTTACCACCACCTTACAGGTACGAATCATAATTCTGCTTTACATTTATTTATAGTGTAACTTGTAATTATTTGCAATCTCTTCTATTTCTTATTTATATAGGCCTAGCGTCCAAAAACTTATAGAAATGGCAAAGAAGCAGAATCGTAATAAACATGAATTTAAATATAACAATGGACTGGATTATTATCCTTTTAATAAATAACTGAATGTATATATGTAGTACATATTTCTTTTATTATAGTATATCACACATTTATATCAAAATAAAATATTTTAGAAAAGTCGGTCATATATTAAATATTCTGAAAAGATTAGTTGTTGTTTCAACTTACAGGGTAGAAGAAAATTAAAAGTGTAACATACAATTGTACTTCATCATAAGTAATATTTAATATAAAAATCACTTATCGATGACTTTATTAACTCATATCATCAGCATGTTATGAAAAATTTTCATTTTTCTAACCATCAATAGATATTTGTACAAAATACTTAATATATAATTATACATATATAATTATTATCTTTCATTAAACACAAATTTCTAGAATGATTTGATTGACTTTAAGATATTCAATTGTAATGACAATGGCGCAATTAGCCAGTAACTTCCTTCGTTGTACAATATACTTTGAAACATTCAACAATTATAGTGGCTGTCCGAGCTAATGCTAACATATAATATCCTTTGTTCCTTTGTATTGTGTAAGAATGTTCGTGTATTTTCTATCCTGAGAGCTACACAGTCGCGTTTGTAGTTATGATATACATATAACTATAATCGATACATACATACATACTGGTAACGTATGTATATTTTATACGCAAGTAAAAAAGATTCAATTTGAATTGTCATATAATCAAGAAACGGAATATAAAAAATATTACGTACTTCTCGGAGTCCTCACTCTATATATTAAGTATGACATCATATATCGAATCGTTACGCGATAGATTTGAAATGAAAGTAATAACAAGAAATTAAATTAAATAGTTTATATCAATACAAAACTTAGGCAGGATTTAATCCTTAAATGCATGACATTTTCTAATAAAAATTAGCAAAAATTTAATACAAAATTGATTTGATAAATTTTGAATTGAATAAATTGAGTGTCAAAACAGCTCAATATTTTTTTTAAACTACCTAAAAAAAAACGATATGATGAATGATAATGGAATTTAAAAAATACAATTAAAAAGAACATGTCGAATAAATCCTCGCAAAAAATAAATTTTATGCATCCAAGAGTTAATCACCTTTTTTGTAAGTTATATACATATATATATTTTATATATATATGTATATTCACCTTGTATTATTTTTTTATTTGAAGAATCTTATGTCTCATATCTTAATTCTTATCCTCTGTTGTGGAGGATACATATCATTCAGTATACTTTTTATTTTGGACCTCGTTAACATCTATTATGCGTTACGCTACATCTAGAGGAGTACTTGTACGGGAATAAAATCAGAAGAGAGATGAGAACAGAATGGTTTTGTTTCTCAACGCAAATGCGGAGGTGGATGTTTTACATGTGTCTTGTGTTCCCGAAATTAATGCCACTTTGATTAGCACCTTTATTACTGCCGTATTGTAGACTTATCACGCCCTGTCCGGCCCTCAATTGTTCCTCGGTGAAATTGCGTATATTTTTATCTGCTTCTTTAGGACCGATGCTTGGTTTGCCGTAGTTACCCGCCTGTAAATATGAATATTATGGAATGTTGGAATTTTCGAGACGTTATAAACTAAAAGACAAAATTATCGTGCTTGATAAGAGTAAAGAACGATATATAAATACTGATAACGAATCCATTTGATGAGATGTAAATATCTAATGACAATGAAAGATAATGAATATTCGTATCAGAAAATTGAGATCTTTTTGCGTTACAAACATGATTTAACATATCTGTGATTGAGAACGATTAAAATATGTAATATACAAAAATTTATATTCTCAAATAAGCTTATAGTTGATTTTATGATTTCTAATCAGAATTTAATTGTATATTATTTTTGAATTTATTAACATTTGATATTAAATATGACTGATTAAATTTCAAATATATATTAAATAAATAAAGTTTCTTGCTAATAAATTAAATAGCAAACTTTTGGTATATATTACTAGTCTTAAGATTTAATTTGTAAGAAAATTTATATTTTTACTTTTTATTTTATTATATATTATATAATACAAAGATATTCGACATTGCTGCAGTTAGTAAAAAGATTATATTGTATGTCAAAATATCAGTCAACCGGTATATCTATATTTACGAAATGGAACCGTACCTTCCTTCCAAGAGATTGTAAGCAAATAACAACGGAATTTAGATTCTGCCTTTCCCAGAGGTCTACGGTCTGGAAGGTCTCTTGCGGCGGAACACCTAATGATTTCGCAGCCTCCAGGAAGGCATTTATATTCTCCATGCATTTAAAGGCCAGCGACGTCTCGTTAATTTTCTTCACCGAGCCCTCCTTGATGTCATTCACCAATCTAGCAGAAGAACAAAATATGATTAGCAAAAGCATTTTTATCTCGCTATAGTTTCGATGGTTCCTTAATTCAACAGCGTCGGTTTTCCGATTTTTTTTCAAATACCTGCAAAGTAAGATGCCATCTCTCAGGATCTCGTAGAAGTTGTCCATGTCCCCATTGGTGTTTATATTTTCGCCAGTGATTGTCTTGATCCATTCCAAACATTCCTGCGCGAGTTCCGCGCTGTACTTACTATTGATCTGTAACAAGAAGAAAAATTTGTATATTATCCTCTTAAAAGTGAAAGCGCGATTATGCTTTCGAATTCTAGGTCGCAGGGTACAGTGTCAATGCTTTGGAATTATGTAGAGAGCCGGTTATTAATTATGCGATGTACCAAGTAATGCATCCTGTAGGGACTGCGACAAGGGCATTGCCAAAGTCACTGACCTAATCTCTGTTACAGCATCAGTTCGTTGTTTCTCCGATATTTTCCCATAAATATAGACATCGATTTTAAGAAAATACGCAAAAAACAAGCGAAGATGCAGTTTTTTTTAGGAATAATTAGGAATAATTTCTTTATTACAAAAAATGAAAATTATTCGCATACAATACACGATTAACTCTAGGATTATGAAAGTAATTAAAAAAACTGATTAATAATTTGTTTCAAATTTATAACGATACATTTTCCAAGATTTTTAGTGATGATTTTTATTGCAATAAATTAAATGATTAAATCGATCGATTTATGTTTTATCCTTTGTCACTTTTTATAATAATACATATTTAAATATTTAAATAATAAAAATAGGTACTTATACGTTAATCGTCAGTAGTGTTAAGAAAATTTTAAGTAATATTTTTTTAATTATAATAACTCCTTTTATGTATCAAAAGATAATTTTACCACAGAATCCCTCATTAAATTTTAATTAATGAATTAAATACTTTATGAAAAAGGAAGGCTTAGCAATTACGTATTTCTATCCATCTATCTATGGACGATTATCCGCTTTTATGCATGATTGCCTAAAAAGGAGAGGTTTCCAAGCATGGTCCGTTGGCATTCATCTTTCTGCAGTGTGCATATTCCGTTAGATATGCGGTGCCTCGGATCGTGATGTACTTTGAGGAAATCACTCATACGAAGGGTGTTCTATCACGGTGCGTCGCATTTTCCTTCATTTATGTAGGTAATAAGTTTTCACATGCAATTAGTTAATTTCCTAGAAAAAAGCTCTCTTCTAAATTTTTTAACATCCTAATTTCACATTTAAAAAAATAAAATATTAAAATCCATTTACAATTAAATAAAAAATGTATTTATCTATACATCTTCAAAGTTTAATTTTATACAATTTTCGTGTGCAATCATTTATAATTCACTTATTAGTTATTTCAACAATTTTGGATGAAGTAGACATTAAATTAATAATATGCAGTATATCTTGTACACTGCATGGTGTGGGCGCGTTTAATTATAATAATAATATACTGTCCCCGGCTCTCCTGACGGCTGGTATCCATGCGAAAGTGTTTTAATAGCGGATGTAGTTTCAGATTTTCAGTGCGTCACTGTAAAGTGAATCGATGCCAGCCCAAAACTATTTTTGCGGTGTTTCTTCTGAAAACATTGTTGTCCATAAAGAGTATAGATAAACGTAACATTCTGATATATCCCGTGTAAATGAATCACATCGCTTGAATTAAAAATTATTAAAATTTTATATATATACATAACGGGTTTTTATATTTTAGAAAAAGTAATTAGCGATATAGTTGTTAATAAATTCTATTAAGACTGTGGCACATAAAAAAACGTAAGGAGTAAGCAAATCAACGTTTTGGATCGGTCATTACTTACATTACTGCCTTATAGACTTTACTGTGATTGGCTGATTTGCTTATTGCTTACATTTTTTTGTATGCTTTTATGATGCATCGAACCCCATATACAGATCACGAAGTCGGCGAATGCCGTAGACAATGCCGTGACACGAATCTCGTGCAGGGTATCCTCATGCTCGTTTACTTTCACCTCAGACTGCCAGGGAATTAATTGGCATTCGACTTGCTTGCTCGAAACTTCCTTATACGTACATGTTAAGTCATTTAACGATTTCAACAGTTTCACCGATAGCTTCTCGGAGAGAAGGATAAGTGGAGTATCTATTACTTGAAGCAAATTTAAATCTTACATATATAATCGTATTCTATTAGGTGTTGGAATTAATTCGTAGCGTTTTTTAAGTGATGGGAAGTACTCCTGTTAAGTTTAATTTTTATAGTGTTTTATATTGTTTATAAAAATATAAATCTCTTATAGAGATATAATAAATCTCTTAAAATAAGTTAATCTCTTAAAATGGTATAAAGCTAAATATTTTTTAGCTCAGATATATATTGATTTTTAAAATGATTGAAAATGAAAAGTTTTATTTAACGTAATTTTAATACTTCAATTTCACGAAAAAGAAAACCACTATATATGCAATTCCATTAATGTCTACATAGTCGTTTACTTTTGTATGCGTCCCGCATAGTTGCACATTCCTCGATTATCGGAATGCTTTCTTTTAAAGAGTTACCCGTTGCAATGCTGCAGCCACAATGTGGAACGCAATCGCTCCTATATTTAGGTATTAAGTAAGCGCACGATAATTTCATTAACGTGAAAAGAGAGTGACAAGCAAGGACTTTTAGTATACGCGCAAAACGTGTGACACTTTGGACCGCTTGCTTTTTCCTGCATGATGCGAAGTGATGATAACGGTAGTCGTGTTGTGTTGAAGACACCGCATAACTTTATGTAATTAAATATTTCATCACTGCTGAAAACATTTTATGGCACTGTTTACTTCTGAGACAGTATAATAAAATAAATCATTAATTAGATACATTTTTAATAAAAACAGGTTTTATTTCTTCGATACAGGAACATATTTTGTTATAAAATATAATAATTATCTTCTACAATAATTTTCTCGTTATTACAGAATTGTTTTAATATTAATACAATAAAGATAATAAAATATAGATTTGATATAGAAGAGCATATTCGAATATTCGAATTCTAAGTTCGTATATTGACAATTCTCCATATATGATATCATCGAATAACTATGTCTATCTTATCAATATCTAGATTGTGAAATTTGTAAGAATAATTCGTAATTCTGTAAATATGCTATAATAAATTAGTCAGCAGACAATATTCAAAAATTGAAAAAGAGCACAATAAGTTTTTAAAATTATTTTCTTCAAACTGTTAATTGCAAAATGTGTTACACATTTATTTTTTCTTAATTTGTAAACACTGATTAATTTGACTTATTATAATGTTACAGTTAGAAAAACTTTTGGAGAAAGCTGTATGTTGGTGATTATTATTATACATACCAAAGTTTAGAATTTTGGGAACGCTGACAAGAATGTGTGAAAATTTTTAAAACGCTAACGATCTAATCTTATGTAATCTATGAGACTTTTATCTCGTCGAAACATTGTACAAATAATTCAGCCCAACAACGCATCGGGAGCAACGGTTATCTTGTATCGGATTCCAAGAGGTGAGAGAGAGAGAAGGAGTATGTCGTAGCCTTTGTACCAAGGCGAACAGTAAAAGAAGAAGCATAGAGAAAGGGTGTGTCACGAAAATATACAGATGCCTCCTCGACATACCGTACGATCCCAAACTCTCTGAACAGGCCCCTAAAGTACGAAGGGTGTGGAGGGTCCCCTTAGAAATTGTGTGAGGCTCATCCGCCTCAGTCATATCATAAAGGTGTGCTGTCACGAAATTTAAACGCATGCTAAAGGTGCAGAGCAAATTTATGTTTTATCGCACAAAATCTGTCATCGTTATTAGAAGGCTAATCAAAATTGGTTATACAAATATGAAAGGAAACCGGATTTTTCGGCCTCTCAGAAAACGAAAAGAACGATTTTGCTGAAATATCTCTCTCTATAAAAATTTAGTTATAGATACAGATCTGAAAATAATTTTGTGAAATTATTAAAATAATTATGTAGGATACACATAATTAATTGCAAAAATTACACGATGTGAAATCGTCTAGATATGATAGTATTATGATTAGCGAGATTTGCAGAGAAGGATTTATCAAGATTACATTGTATTGTGATTGCGTAGATTAGAATTTTTTCATATAAAATGAGAGCAAGATATCGGTTGATTTATCAAGATAATTTTCGCTTTATTGTTATGTGAAATTTAAACACTTATACGTATAAATTATTAGAGTTCATAGTCCTCGTGGAATTGTACAGTTTTCATTTTCTTAAATTTTATTTGTTACACTTGCTATTATTGATAATCAAAAATCATAATTTCATACCTTAGAAAAATAATCAATTTTTCTAATTCATACGAGCATCGCCATTTTGAATATTTAATCTGGTATAAAATCCGATATTTTCGAAAATATTTGTCACTTATTGTAAATACATGTAAATGCATATCTTTAACACTTGTTAAATTTTAAAAGATCGAAGTAAAAGAGAAATATGTATTATAAATAATTGTATCATAAATAATTATAGCTATTATAAATAATTTAACATAATAATCTTGCTTATTTTCGAAAAATATTTAGTTCCATTTTAATTATGAGTTTAATTGCTTTTTAACAAAATCCATGTTATCGCGTATTTATAGAATAAGTTGGAAAAGCTGTTAAAGCTGTTATAGTGTTAGGAGAATTAATATGCATATATCACCTTTTTAGCCGCACGATGGGAGACGAAATGCACGCAATTAAAAAATTACCGTTATCGCCATATGCCTCTACAGCGACATTGACGCTCGTGTAATGACATGCTTACACGTTCACGGTCGCAAGAATTAGGTCAGAGGCCTGCTGCAGTCAATGAAGCACAGACCAGATTGAACGAATTGCTCGACTATGTCGCGATGAGTCGTTTTATTTACTGACTAGGCTGATCTTACCAGATACTTAATAGCTGCAGAACGGCATATCAAAACATTTTAGTTACGAGGAAATATGCCAACGCTAATTTATGTTATTATTATGTTGAATTATTTATAATTAATAATATATAAATAATATAATTAATAATGTAATAATATGGTACATATGTATGTATTTTCTTTTAATCTTTCTGAAGATTCTGGCAACATGCGAGATTTGAGTATTTTAATTTCGATAAAGTGTATTTCAATCGAGAAAGATCCTTTGTAAAGGACGACTCGTGTACTTAAATAAGGTGTTCT